AATAAGAAAAATACTCCCTTAACTATGCATTGTTCCAAAGGCAAGGCTTTGATACAAAATTAACTTTCACAAGCCACTAATTACGCTATGAATCCCCTTAATACCCAGCCTTCGCTCCCTACGCAAATTAACATGATAATGGGTTTTACATGCCCATAATTCTAATAGTACCATCAAAAATGTATTTCCAAAACTACAGCGGTAGCAAACGACCCTCCCGGCCGAGACCTCGTCAATTGCTGTTTGTATTGTTTTAGCAAACACGAACAGGACTAGAACGCGTGGGCGCATAGAAAGGATAATACACGGACCGGACGTCCACATTCCTTCGCACTCCGGAACATATGGGCCCGGACGCTGTCAGCCTCCGAGGGCTTAAACGCCTAAATCGCCATATTATGCCCGAAAAATCTCACCGACTGCGCCAATTTTAAGATGTTTGGATGACATTTACTCCAACATTTCTCGCAAAGCTGGTAGGGTAAATGTGTACAAGAGTGCGCATATGTATAAGAGTACGCACTGATGATTTCTGGTTATTAGTGCCATCTGGGTAAGATGTAGTTATACCATTCAGAATTTAATGCTAAACCTGAGATAAAGGTGCAAAAGTGACCTGAATATAGTTTATAGTTTGGTCGTACTGACGATTTTATGTTCACACGTTGTGTGGATGTAATTTTTACCGCTCATAGTTTTAGTTTTTTGTAAGGTACGTACCAGTTCTTTTATTTTACAGTAATAATTTTCATTAGTTGTAACTTTTAAGGTGTCGTTATACACTAACAGTTTTACACTTTCTGTCCATCAAAAGCTTTTAACTTTGAAAACATTAGGTGATGTACAAATGTACAAGAGTGCGCAGCGAGGTATTGTATAAGAGTGAGCATTGCTTGCAATACGTAGTCTAATAGTCTTGGAAATACATATCATACGATAATGAATTATTTAACTCTACTACTTTGTACTGCTTCTCAAGTTGTGTGGTGGTGGTTATGGTGATTTTTTTTTTTATTTTTACTTCCTGAGCGTGTTGTAATCGAGTCCGTCGACCGACTCTCTATTTTTACGTTTTCTCGTCTTTTCAAGACCCCTAAAGTACGAAGAAATAGGTCTCCCGTTTTATGTGTAGTCTGTAGTCACTTATTCCCATTTATTTTCACCTTAGAAACAAATATTTTTTCATAAAATGTAATGCGTACTCATAAGCGTTCAAATGCGCACTCTTGTGCAATGAACTGTCTAAGAGTGCGCATTTACACATCTTGACAAAAATTGAAATTACTCTTAAAATATAGTGGTGTTGGGGCGTACAATTAAATATATCTGATATCTAAACATGTATATAACGAACCTATATCATAAAATTTGTCTATCCAAAAAAATTAAAAAGTTGTTGACAGTTTTACACTAAGTGCGTACTCTTGTACACATTTACCCTACTATTGAAATGGGTTACGAAATCCGATAAGGATTACGGTCGAGGATGTCTAAGGTGAAGGGTCGACTCGGACTGGGCCCTTTGACCCTTTTCACAAAACGCAATAAAACGTTCGGCACTTGACGAAAAATTGTCGCGGTAATAAGAGGAATGAGACGGGAGCAGGTTGCTCGGGAAACTGGCGATGCGTTTCGTGTCTACGACTTAATGAAAAAAGTTTTTCTAGCTAATTTACGGGTTTCTATTTGAATTATCATCTTTCGGCGTGCCGAGATTTAGGCGCGATTGTGACGGGTAATTAGTTTTTAACGGGCAGGGTTAATCGGGTTAACAATTTTCGCGTGCTGTTTTTTAAAGAGGGATGCTAAGGGTGATTTGACGATAATTCCAGCTATTGATGGGGCGCTTGTGGCTTTTTAATAACAATAATATTCACTGCTGACGAAAGCGTCAAGTCCCTTGTCTTCGAACATTTATATTACTTACTGTAAGTTAGAATTATGGATTTATATTCTAGAGTTCAGGACACGTTTCTAAATTATTGTTTTTTTTTTCTAAAAGCATCCGTCATTAAGGGTTAATAGAAAAAAAAACGATTTTTATGTTTCACAGAACTGGTGGTATTTTGGCAAAAGTGAGTTTGGGAAATAATAAAAAATGAAGGTTATAAAACTGTAATACCAACTTAAACCAACCGTAGATTTATCAAAACAGAGACTTGTCAGCTGTAGAAAAAGCAAGCGTCGGCCATCCTCTGGGCGTGCTTTTGAAGCATTCCATCCGACTGCGCCATTTTTCACGACCCTCTTAAATATCGACTATTTATTTTATGTTATTTCTTGTAGCTTTAAGTCCTCGGTTACCTATTCCGAACTAACTCGAAAAAGAGATGAAATAAAAACAAATTGGCTATAAATACTCCCCTCGGTTTATTCACTTCCCTCCGTCAAACTGACAAATTAGGGTTCGCGTCCCTGTGCGGATTGACTTTTTAAGCAAAACAGACCCGACAGTCGTTCGCTTTGTTTTTATATCGTTATATGAAAGTCACGGTTTCTTGTCGTGTATCAAGACACGTTCGTTGCGGAGGTTAAAGTCGAGAGAAAATAAGATGATAAAGTGGTTGTCATAACGTGACATCTGTGTTATTAAGGATGATAAATAAGCGAATCGAGCTTTGAGGTTGTCGATTATTATTTATTTGCGGTATTAATAAAGCTATTGTGTTCAGATTGAGGGGGTGTAGGTTTAATGTTGCTCCTTAATAATTTTAAGAATCAGGAAGTACGGCGGCGCTTTTTTGTTATTTTTTACTTTGCTTAAAGCTAACAGTTGTTAGCTTTTTGCATTAAGTAAAGGGAACACGATTATACAACGGAACCGGTTTTAATGGAATTTTTCATGAACGTGAAATAGCTAGGTATATTTCGCTCTGTTAAAGTTTGTAAGAACTCCACGAAGTTAGCAGCGGTCGCCATTTTTTTGAATTAGTTTGTTCTGTTTTGTTTTGGTTCTTTTGTACATTTAAGTTTAAAAGTGGGGATTAGAAGTTCTTATCCCATAATTATCTGCTGACTGTTATGATGAATTTGATTTCGATTTGATTTAAAGTTTTATAAGAGGTTGCTGTATTGTAGATCGAGAAGTAAAATTTTAATTGAAACTAGGTTTGCTCAAGAAACATTAAATAAGCTTTTGAGAGAAGAAAAGAAGAAAGCCATGCGGACAAAAACAACAGGAAAAGATAAAATCTATGTTTTCGCACAGAATGGAGTTCAGAAAATATACGACCTTCAGACTACTAAGAAAATTAATTACCAAAAAAGTAGTTACAGTTTTAAATTTAGAAAGGGTAGGAAAATTTTGAGGTATATATTGGACGTAGCCTTGAGCTTTTGAAACTACGATTACGTTATCTGCGCCATGATATACCGGGTAAATCAAATTCGTATTCGCACCCATTTATCTGTGGAACTACTAGCTCAAGTATGACTAGTCATACAAAATTTGAAAATTGACCTCTTGTGTCTTTTTGAAAATGTATGAAAAAATCTTGGTAGTCTTTTTTGTGTTTTATTTTTGAAATTTTAAAAATAATTAATCTTAGAGATTCCGAGAAGTGTCTTTTTTTTAAAGACTCGTATGTGAAATAATTTTACGGATTTCTTGTGTTCTGTCTTCCGAAGAATTTAAGAGAGAGATCTTATGGTTTATATTTGAAAAAAATCTGAAAAATTCTAGGGGGTTCCTACATCGTTTTTTAAAGAATATGGAAAAAGATATTTTCGTGGTGCCTTGTTTTTATTTTTGAAAATTTCGTTGAGATCTGTTGTTTTGTTTTTGACTGACTTGGGTAGAATTTTAGAAGTCCCTAGGGATTTTATTAAGTATGTGGTTACGAAAAAAGTGGTCTCCCGTTTCCGTTTGTCTGTGGCATGTCTGTCTGTCAGTCCCTTTGTCTGTGGTAATTTTTTTTTAGACAGATAATCTCCGAAACTACCGGATCGATAGTTGTCAAATTTTGTTTGTATATTGTTACGTTGAACGGGTGATTAAAATTGACCTGGTTTAAGCTCAACAATTTATTTATTAATAACTCGAATTACACGACTAACTATCACAGCGATTATAAAATAATTCCGGCGCAACTTGTCTAACTCAACTAACTGAATAATCCGTTCCCCAAAGGTCGATTCTATTTAAACAGTATGCGGTCCTTCTCGAAACCCTACGTCACCGCTTCTAGATTTCTCCGGGATTCCCATTCGCGATTTCCGTTTCCAGGCGTTTCTTTAGCGCTCCGTCGCATTTAGGATGAATCATCACCGGCGTAAGACCACAGAGTTCTCGACGGCCATAGGCGTCGCACCGAGGCGGCGTAAGGGTGTATTTCATGACAATATATATAAGGAATATCATGTACAACCCTAACCAAATGTGGCTAATCATTCCGACCAACAATTTCATGACGTCATTTCAAAGGGTTCCAAATTAAAATGATTTAAATGTTATACAATAATAAACTTCTACATTTGTGGTGTACAAATCCTTTTGAGTTTTTTTTTCGATTGGCCAAATTTTTGTAAAAAAATTAACACAGTTACAAAGTTTATCTTTGCGATGTAACGTTGAAAAATTAAAGCGAACTTGTTAATAATATTTTCACAATAGCAGCTGAATGAAAAGTACGTGGTAGTTAAACGCGCCAGATTCAAATATTATTTTTTCTATAGTGTTATTGGCTTATCTTTGGGTTTGAAAGGTGGGTTAAAATAGAATGTATCAATATCACTAATATTCTGATTTTTTTATGAATATGGTTATTATTCTAAAAAATGTGAATATCAAATCCAGATTCGTATTTTACCCATTGAACTGAAGCGCTGTCAATCGAACAATTGATAATAGATCTGAATTTCGTTCTAGTTTTTCAGTAAATAATCGCACTAATGCTGGGCGGCTACCGCTATGAGTTAACCTAAATATAATAATATGAATTCAAGCAGATTTAGTTTAATCCCAGTTTATTTTACAAATGTACACAGTCAGTGTCATTAATAATCGGATACTTCAAACATTATACGATTAAACTTGCAACAACGTCCGGATTTATAAAACTGGAAATATTTTGATTTGTCATTGTCATTACGGGGAATCCACGAACATCCAGAGGAAGATTTAAAATTGAAAACATTTAATGCTCACTAATGATTCAAACTGCTTATCAGTGTTCGAAATACGAAATGTCTTTTTAATGGATTAGTGATTTAGAAATCAATAAAATCCCATCGCGACGCCCTATTCTAGTTTTATTCTACTTTGCCAACGATCACGATAATGATGACGATGACCTGAATAACTTCACAATGCCGCAAAAGAAAACAAAATTTTTGTTGTATATCACGAATAATTTCAAAAGATTTTTAATTTGTTTTGGTTCTTCCAGGTTACCGCTCTCATCCACCACCATGCAAAAAACCACCTTCCAGCTCCTCGCCGTCCTCTTCCTTCACACCACCAAAGCCACGTTCAACCACCCTCACCGCGACCGCTCCTCCGATTCCACCCTCAACGAAACAGCTCCCGACTTCGACTATCTAATGCGAGACAAACGCGACTGGGACAACGACAGCTTCATCTACTACAATGACACTACCAACGGGACCTTCTCCGAAGAGGAGTTCATCGACAGTCTGTGGGAGTTCATAGCACCCAAAAGCTGGACCTGGATCTTGATAATTTTTCACACCCTGGTGTTCGTGATCGGGATTATCGGCAACATTCTGGTGTGCGTGGCCGTGTACAGGAACCATACGATGCGAACTGTCACAAACTACTTCATTGTGAACCTGGCCGTGGCTGACTTTTTGGTGATCTTGTTCTGTTTACCGCCGTCAGTGGTGTGGGATGTGACCATCACGTGGTTCTTCGGGGTGGCGATGTGCAAGATCGTGCTGTACTTTCAGGTGAGTTTGGTGTAGGGTAAATAATTTCAGTGATAATCTAGAAAACGAAAAACACGTAACACTAAAAAAGGCAATAATATAGATTATGTTATAAATTTGTTACCTAAATAAGTTCCTGATTATTCAAAGGAGGGAACGGGAAAGTAATAAACTGCATACCTCAGTGTCCCTGGTTTGTTCAACGGAGCGAACACCCTGTAAAGTGTTTATCGCCTCTGGACGCATCACATGCGGCTCTGGCTTAATCCTTGCACCGTGGTAATTATATACCGATTTCCCATACAATTATAATGCCGGCAAATTTGCGCTGAATGCTTTCCCTGATAAATCTCCGTCAGCCATCCTCGAACTAAACTAATACAGCGCCTGTTTAGCGTCAAATGAGGCTCTTCATTTATCACATTCAAGCCATTCATCAAAAAACTTGTAGACTGTCTCTAATCTAGACCTCTTCAGAAATGATTTGCGAATCAAGGCACATAAATATTTGTAATCCTCTCGAGCTGTCGCCGGGGTGCGTTGCGACTCAAACTTTTCGTCACATGGGGTGTGGATGTTTCGATATTTTCACGAGCATTTGCCTCAAACAAATGGAGGCTTAGTTTAAGTGACTGGAGTTGTTATCGGGGCGTGGGAGCCGACGATTGCGGTGTTCGGGAAAACGGGATTGTTCATCTGGGACGTGTTGTGGGGGAGGTTATGAATTGGGGTTAAGAGGGTGTCGAGCGGAGAGACAAATTTATCGTTTGTGAGGGGCTAGAGTCGAGTACCACATATTTATGTTTAAAATTTTCTACTCCAGCTGTCAAAACCGACAATTTTGGCTTTTTAAAACGTTTTCGTTAATTAAATTTTTAAAGCGTTGTTTCTATTTTAACGGAGAGCGTCCACGGAGTTCTTTCGAATTTGCATAAAAAAATTAACACTTGCCGTGTCTTCGGGTCAATGTCTTCGCAGATTTGATGTTTGCTTTTATTAAGGCACAGTCACGATTCGTATTTTTGCCCTTTGCGGATTCTCTGGAGATTCCAATCGGACAAGGGTGGAATTAGAGGGAAGGAAAATGTGACAATTTCAATGTGTAGCGAGGAAGCGACTGGGCAGCGACTAATTTAAACCGACATTTGTTCTGCTGTTTACTTAATGACATTTTGTGCTGATTTGGGTTGATGAAATTGTGTTCTAATTAAGAGAAGTGAGTAGAGCAGCGAAAGCAGCCTCCGAGATTTGCCATTTCATCAATTTTTTATCGGAATGTGGGATCTGTTTTAATGTACACGAGAGTATCGTGTGTAGAATCACGTTTGGGGTTTTCTTTGGTAAGGGTAATAAATTCGCTTGTCTTCGATATTCCTGAAATGTGAATATGCGGATTTTCAATCCCTTTCGAAATAATGGTTTCTTATTTTTTTATCGAAAACGCATTTTGAATATGATGAGCTGAGCAAAATTTATTTGTTCTTGACAATGAATATTGGTATATAAGCGTCACATGTTGTTTTACCGTTTGGATAAGCAACATCAAGGTTCAAGCCCGTAATAGTGTCACCCTTGTCAAAAACAATTTGTTCTATTCACGATTTGAATTTAAGCAAGGAAGTAAAATAATTCTCTAGTTCTGTTATTGAAATTAAGTAATTTTGGTGTTGATAAATGGAATAATAATGCCCGTTTGCACCAGTTCGGCTTAAAATTTAAGCGCGGTTTAACTACTCTATATGCATTGCACCGCCATTTTTTAAACTTGAAGTCTGGTTTAAATTGAACAAAATTTAAACCGTAGAATAAGCTGAAGTTAAAGCTTAAACTGCGCTTACAGACGTTGAAAACATGTCAGGTTATTGAGGTTATGACGTGATTGGATGTGATGTTTTCCTTTGACTCCACAGTTTAGTCGTAATCAAAGAGTTTCCCACGTGACCCTCATGAACTAGTAATAAACATACATACGATAAGTAGTACGCAAGCTGGTGTTCGATTATTTTTCTGGTTTAAATGCATATACATATAGATAGATATAAGAAGAGTACAATAATATAATCATCAATTATGGAAATCGCAAATGCCATTTTCGAAGAAAATGAAGATATTGATGATTTATTTGTACTGGACTTTTTAGAGAATCGGATTCCACGCCAAATATACGAGCGATCTCATTATTTTGATACCTTGGATGAGGTTGCATTTCGCAGAAGATTTCGCCTGTCGAGAGAGAGTGTATTATATATACTTGACATCATTCAAGAACACCTAGAATACCCCTATGATGTGAACAATTCCATTTCGCCAATAAACCAGTTATTGGTTTGTCTACGCCTGTTTTCCACTGGTGGACATCTTCAGAGTGTTGCTGATTTTGTTGGTATGCATGTATCTACGGTGTGCAGAATTGTAAAAAAAGTTTCTAATGCAATTGCAAGCAAATATCAACAATTCGTAGTTTTCCATAGAAATCAAGACACCCTGCGACAAAGACAGCAAAATTTTTTCAACATTGCATCTTTCCCACGAGTAATAGGTGCTTTAGACTGCACTCACATTAAGATTCAGTCTCCAGGTGGTGAAGAAGCAGAAATATATAGGAATAGGAAAGGATATTTTTCAATTAACACTCAGATGATCTGTGATAGTAAATTGAGGATATTAAATGTTGTAGCTCGATGGCCAGGTGCTACGCACGATGCTACAATTTTTAATAACAGCAGAGTGAGTCATTCATTTGAAAACAATGAATTTAGAAATTGTATTTTATTGGGAGATAGTGGATATCCTATAAGAAATTATTTAATGACCCCTTTACTGCAACCTCATGCTCCTGCTGAGCATTTATACAATGAGAGCCATATTAGAACACGAAATGTCATAGAACGATGTTTTGGAGTTTTGAAGCGAAGATTTCCAATTCTGGCTTATGGTTGTCGCTTAAGTCTTGATACAGTACTGAGTGTAATCGTGGCTGCATCAATACTCCACAATATTGCTCTCAATATGAATGACGAAGAGGCACCACCTATACCAGAAGAGTTGGATGAACATGTACTTAACCATCTAATAGAAGAAGGACAAATACCTCATGCTGCAGAAGATCAAGAAAATGGGGGTGCAATTTTTCGAAGAAATCTAATAAATGAATATTTTGGACAATTATAAAAATACGTTTATTTAAACTAGATATAATGCTGTTACATTTCTTCTAATTTTTGCAATTGTTTTTCTTTTATTTTAACATCTAATAAAGCACTTTTTTTTTGCAATTCAGCTGTTTCAATTTGAAGCTGCAACAACTTAGCTGAATCTTCAGCTTCCTTGGTCTGCTGTTGTAGCTTATGCTGCAAAATCTGAAACTGTAGTTTTGCCACTTCTGCTCGTGTAACTGCCATATCTTCATATTTCCGGGCGACCGATTCGGTGGCAGATAATGCTGGTCTTCTACGGTTAACCCAACTTTCTTTATTTTGTACTTTTAAACGTGAATTCAACGGAGTCTTGAGTTGTTCCGCTTTTCGATTTCCCCAATTATTATTTTCGACTGTAGTTTCCTCATCCTAAAATAAAAAAAAAACAACCAGGTTATAAATTGTAATATAAATTTAGAGTACAATTACATTTGTGGTGACAATCAAAATTTCTTCGTCTTCGTCACATCCTATTGGAGCACCCGGAGATGGTAAGATCTCCATCACCATCATGAACGTTAGTTAGTCCAAAAACACTTTTTTGGCTCAAAATATTTAGTGTCGCTTCAAATATGGGGTCGCCACATTTACTTGTAGATGGACCCCCACCAGTTTTATATAAATTGCAGCGATCTGCTTTCTTGTGCTTTTTTTTATATTTTCATAAAGTTTTTTTAAATTTTCGTCGGTTCTTTGAACCAAGGCCGGGGTGGAAGCGTTAAATTGCACCATTATGTTCTTCCAGCACAAGTCTTTTTCTCGCCATGTCACCCCGTCTGTTTTTTTACACTCTAAAATATGTTTATGTTTTTCTGCCAGCTGCAAAAGTAGCAACTTTTCTTCTTTGCTGAAATTAGGTGCACGTGTTCTTTTTTCTGCCATTTTTCACTAATAATCTGTTAACAAAGCAATAATTACATAAACATGAATACACGCTTCCAAACACTTTTATTAGAAAATTCCTTCTTTAGGTACTTACTTTACAATAAATAGGTATTAAACCAAAGGTTTATTTTGATCCCAAAAGCATAGAACACTATAGTAGCTACTAATAAAAACAACACCACGCGACTGCAAAATGTAACGGCTAACTATTGTTTACACAACAAGGCTATTGCTTTACAGTTGAAGGTTATGTTCATGTTATGTTAGATATACTGCCATCTGTCAAAATACTGTCAGAAACCACTACTGCAAAGGCGCTTTTACGGAAACAGTGGTTAATGTAACGCTTTGTTAAGCCGATAGTGGTGCAACGCTCATAGATCTTAAGCCCGGTTTAAACGAAAGCCAAGTTTAGTTAAACCAAAACTTTAAGCTAAACTGGTGCAAACGGGCATAAGTGATTTTTTGTTAGACGGTTTGCCAACAATATCGCCGAGGTCCTTCTTAAGCTGTGGTCAGTGATTTTTTTTTCAGTTGGGAAGTTTGAAATACGATGCCACTTCCTTTCTTATAGTTCCAATCTTACGGATCACCTTTCGACTGTGCTTTTCGTTAACATATTTTTAGAAATTATGACAGTAAATGTAAGTCACAATGCGAACATAACCTTTAATTGTAAAGAACCAGCAATTTGTGAGTTCAACGAACTTGTGAAACACGTGCATCATACATGTAAAATTTTTGCAGATCATTTTTTCACAAATTTGGATGTTACGAATGACATCTACGTTATAAATTCTGGTAAAAAAATGTCCGAGTTTCGCTTGTTGATCACATACTTTAGTATGAAAGAAATGTAACAATGTTTCTAATATATTATTACTAATATTATTATTAATGATGTTATAATTGAATGCTACAAAATACAACTTGTTTGAGGCGGTGTAGGTTAAAATATACAGGGTTTCTATAAATGATTATAGGGTCGAAGCATGGTACAAGAACTATGTCATGGACTTATTTATCCGGATTTTACTCAGTGCCCAAACACTCACGACCTGTGCTCACGACAGATACCATACAAATCTGTATAACTGGTTGCCTAGATTCTTTATATCTTAGTAAAAAATAAAACCAATTTATTACGATAGAAAAAAAAACAAATTTATTATGGTTAAACGTCACAGTAAATGTTGAAAATGTACACCATTTTGTCTTTTTAATTTCAAAAATGTTCTGTAATATCCTTTCGTCAATGCTATGGCCCATTGTTCAACTTCATGTTGCATCAGGAAATCCTGACTGCTAAGACAATCTTGTCAAAGATGTTTATGGATTCTGCTCGAGTCGTCTCAAGTCATCAACAACTTCCTCAAATACTGAAGGTTTTGCAGGAGATTTCCCTTTGTTAACATTGCCAGTTCGAACCAATCTGTTGATAACACCTATAGTGTGAGCCTCTAACGATGTTTCTCGAATTTGAAAATCAGGATATTTGGCTTACAAGCGGTTACAGAATAGACTCACTCTCCGTTTATAAATGTCCCATTGCGACAAAAAGACATAACAATGAAGGTGTCTTGCTCAACAGAATAAACCATTTTCACTTCCTAGCACAATAAAGCAAAATTTTCGTACACAAGCACCAAGAGTTTTGAAAACAACTGTTTTGTTGTTTTGAGCTTGGATCAAAGAGAATTACTGTAATTCAGACTTGAAAAGCGTTAGAACAATAAAAGCGATGACTTTAAGTGACAGATTACAAATGACATTAATAACAAGTGAGAACTGTCGGGGGGATTTTTGAAATAAACTACGCCCTTAGAATCATTTATAAAAACCCTATATATATTACAATTAACTTAAATTATAATTTTACGTTAAACGTATTTCCAAGACCTAGTACAAGCTTCTTTAACCCCGGATTACTATGTACAGTATTTACGAAACCCATATATAATTGATCCACAGCCTGAGTGACTCCCTCTTTAATATGCTCAGATTCAGAATTTCCTTCATTTTTCGTCACTTGAACCGCTTCTAAAATCTCTTCAGTATTCTTCTCAATCTGTGTCTGTTTTTCCTTCGTCTCCCGAACATCACAGTGAATATCTGTTAGTTTCTGGTCCACATTTTGGTGTCTTTGATCTTCCAGTTCCATCTGTTGCTTCATTATCAACGCCATATCGTCTTGCTGCAACCTTAAGCATTCATTCTGCTGATAACATCTTGCAATTTCGCGAATAACATCCGAATTCGTTTCTAAGAAGACACGCAAAGCTTCATCGTGTTTGATTTGTCGATCGTTCATCGCTTCTTCATTATTTTTATTTCGGTCAAACTCCGCCTTCTCATCAACATTTTGCTTTATAATGTAGTCCCGAAACTTCTGAAACAATCCTTCCAAATCTTCTTTCTTCAAAATGAGATTTAATTCAACCGGTTCGACTTTGACCCTTTTTTTGCGCACTTCTTCGACCTTTTCCCATGGAAACAACCTCCTGTAGCCATACGTTTTGCAGTCGCAGCGTCTATTTTTGAAAAATTCGTTGGACTCTTCAACGAAAAGACCCACTTTTGTGTATAAATGCAAAGTTTTCCATTCTGTGGTCCCATAGCGAACGGTTTTTCCGTCGTCTATCTTGCACTTGTTGAGTAATGAAGTACCATTAATGACACCTTTGGAAAAGTCGTCTTTGGTGATATTCGTGTCTTGTTTGTTCTTAATGAGGTAGGTGAGAATTCGGTGAGCTGTGTCTTTAGCTAACTTCTGCATAGCACGTCTAGGACCTCCTTTACTAGTCAAGTTGCGAAACTGATACTCAAAACAGAAGAACGTTTCGATCGCTGCTTCAATTATCATCTTCCGAACTTGTTCCTTGTTGTTATTTTGAAAGTACACCAAGTCTGCCAAACGCTTCGAGTCTTTTCGGTCGGATATTTTATGCAACCAGGGTACGCCTTTCTGAAGACCTGAGCCCACTGCTTTACCAACTAGTGGAATTGTTGTCGCTGCAGCACTACCAAGAGAGACAACTAAGCCGTTGGGTTTTTCTGGTACTTTGCTGTCATCTAAGAGTGCCATGAAAAAGTTGAAGTCGCCTTCGATGTAACGGGTCAAGTAGTAGGAGAAATCTTGCATGCGTTTAAGGATAAGTTCTTTGGATATTCTGGTGGTTGGAGAAACCTCCTCCAGTTCTTCATCTATTGATTGATAACTTTGGTATTGTTAGGCAACTTTGAAAAACTTACCCTCTTTTATTTCCATGGCACTGTCAAAATTCCTACGCAGTTGTTATAACTGTTGGAATGATTTACTGGGTGTGTAAGCCGATAAGATAACACTGTCATTGATAATGTTTCTATAAACTTTATTTAGATACGAATGGAACAATAATGGAGAAATCACAAACGCGCTAAATGTCGTCACCGAAAAAGTTTCTTGAGACCTTTTTTGACTTCTCTTCGTACTTTTGGTTCCGCGTTGCTGATGCTTTCTTTAACTTTGTTCACCACTCTGGTCATTTTCTTCACTTCATAATTGTCCCTTACCAAATCACCCAGTGAAGGATTTTTCTGTTCAGAAACTTGCTGAATCGCCTCTCTAACTTCAACAGCAGTGCTAGAAAACTCTTCTTGTTTCGTCTTGATTTCGCAGACATCGTTTCGAATATTTTCTGTAGTTTGGGTCAAGACCACTTGCCCTTCCCTCGTTTCTACCACCCCTGTATGTATTTCTGAAAGTTTAGTCGCGATTTCTTGGTGCCTTTCTTCTTGAACTGTTCTCTCTTCTTTGATTATGGTCACGATAACTTCGCTCTGTTCACGACCAGCCTTGATTTCTTCGTAATTCCTTCTCAAATCTTCAATCACTTCCCTAAACTTTTCCACAAATGTGGCCACCACTTCCTCGTGTTTCTTCCGCTGATCGTCCATCACTTCTTCGTGCTTTTTCTCGCGATCCAACATTGCTTCCTCCGTTGCGGTTTTACTCATCACGTACTCTTTAATGTCTGCAACCAACTGTGGCAGTTCTTCCTTATTCAAATAATACTCCGGTGTCTGTGAGCTTTCGTGTGACCATTTCTCACGGATCTCGTCAGCGTTTTCCCATGCGAAAATCCTTCTGTAGCCATACTTTTTACTCTTGGTGTCTTCATTCCCAAAAAATTCGTTCGTTCCGTCGAAGAATAAACCAACTTTTTTATAAATACTGGACGTCTTCCATTCTGTTTCGTCGTTTTTGACCGTTTTTCCCGTTCTCACTCCGAATTTGTTTTTGACGGAGTCGCCAAACATCACACCCTTACTGAAATCGTCTCTGCTGACGTTTTTAGTTTGCTTGTTCTTCAAAAAGTGAGTAAAAATTCGATTTGCTGCGTCTTTAGCTAATTTCTGCATGGCACGTCGAGGCCCTCCTTCGCAAGTTATCTTGGTGAATTGTTGTTCGAAGCAGTAGAAAACATCAGCTGAAGATTCTATCAGTAGTTGTCTCATGCTTTCTTTGTTATCGCTGAAATAGTATACTAAATCTGCCACGGTTCGGGAATTGTTGTTGTCGATTTTGTTGAGGATGTAGATCTCGCCTTCTTTGAGGGCTGAACTGATGCCTTTGCCGATGTATGGGATGGGGGTTGCTATGGTACTTATGGCCGTTACAGAGGTACTGTTGGGTTTTTTCGTGTTGGGGCGATCTTCGAGGAGGGTTAGGCAAAAGGTGAGGTTCTTCTCGATGTTTTCGGTTAAGTAGTAGGAAAATTCTCGTAGGCGTTGTATGGTTGTTTCTCTGGTGTTTTCTTCTTCTGTAAAGATTATTTTCAGCTTTGTGATGGGCGAAGCTTAACTTACCTAGTGGGGTGTTGTCCATTGTGGCAGCTGTTGAAGTACACTATAAACAAAAGGTGTTATGAAATTTTTAGTAAGGAAGAAAAAACAAGTTGAAGATATCCGGAAAATCTAGATGTCATGGTAAAAACTGGACACACGAAAAATTTGGTGTGACGTTGGTAGGGATGTTCAGACAAATTTTGGTTAGCGTTTTTATATCTACACCAAACAAACCTCTAAATTTTGACAACAATCAGTCTGACAGTTTCAGAAATATCTGTTTTATAAAAGCAGACACATACGACAGATAGGCGGAAACGGGACACCTATTTTTTCAACGCTAGGGATCAACGAAACATGAAAGTAACCGTTCACCGCATGGACCCTATTACAATAATTCTTTAGCTCATGCTTGGGAACTAAAAATTAATTGTTAAGTAATTGGATTTTACTTTTATATTTTTAAAATTGTAAGTTTATTATACATTAGCCATTTTACGCGGACAAAACGCTGTACTTACCGAACTAATAATGTTCTCGGACTACAAATAAACTCGTGTGTAACTACAATGAATCTACAGTGCAACTAACCTCGCGGCGTAATGAACTTGGACAGGACTGAACGCTCCCATGACTCACTCGGTCTGGGAGTTGGGGATTTCCACGCTGTGTAGTTTATTTTTATCAATAAGAGATAAGTATGAGATAAATTTTTGGAAGACTTAGAAATTATCAGGACGGCACTAGTTTTATGTGGTAATTATACTTATCAAATCATTAACAGGACAGTAATTCTATTTTTAGTCGCCGAATTCGCTACAAGGTTGCAATCATATTAATGTGTAGGTATCGTCGTGTCAATTTTCACAAGGTAACTTTAAGCTTTTAACAATCGTTTTTATTAATACCTAATATTTTTGTGGTATGAAATTAAAAATTATAAATGTGAGTTCAGGAAATAGTCAGTTAAATTTTATGTTTCCAATAACACGTTTTTGATTTGAATGCCAAAGATAAGAAATAATCTCATACCTAAATAAACAAAAATTTAAAGTCTTGGGTGTGGTTAGTTTACAACTAAAGTAAAAAAGTAGTAATTACACTCATTCAATTCTTATTAAACTCGTTCCTTTGGAGCACGAAGAGTGAAGCGAGCAGCTCCAAACAATTCGTGATACAACAAAATGTCTTATTAAAGTAGTAATAGTAAGTAGTATAACTGACAAGGTGATCGTGGGTGATAGTGCATGTGTGCATGTGTGTTGTGCTCCAAAATCTGTTCCTTCCTCTCAGGTTTGAGGAAACAAATTTACACTGAATGAGACATATGTAAAGGGCGTTTGTCGCATTGAGAACAGTGTAATTGTTTTTCGCATCTGTTTAGTCGTTTTTTCTCTGTGTAGTTAGTTTAATTAATGTGTGCAAGAAAACTAGTAATTTTATCTATTGGGTAGCCTCATTTTTTGCCGGTTCCAATCAAAGGTGAACCTCTCACCTTTGATAGGAGTTAGTAATGCCGGGAACGTGTAAAGCATGTGATGGAGACATCAATCGCCGAAATGAAAAGGTTTTTTCATGTTTCCTCTGTAGTAACAAATCTCATGCAAAATGTTTAAAAATTGAAGATGCCGAATTTAAAATCTTGCAGAAATTAAATAATTTTAAATACATTTGTGATGAGTGTTTAATACTTCAAAATTCTGAGAAAGTGGATTCTTTGAAAGCGTCAATTGATAAATGTTTAACTGCCATTGAAAACCAAAATCAAACAATTAACTCTCACGGTACAATAATTAATGACTTGTTGCAAAAAATGCCTAGCTCCTTTCAAAAGGATCATGTTCCGTCCTATGCCAGTGTTACTAATAAATCAACAGTTATTGTACAGCCTAAGAACACTGAGAAAAAAGTATCGGAAACGAAAGCCGAATTGTTAGGAAAAGTTAATCCTGTGGAAAATAATTTGAACATATCTAACGTAAAGTCGTCGCGTAGTGGTGGAGTAATAATCAGCTGCAATAGTAGTAAGGACACTAAAAAAATTGTTGAAATTGTAGAGAATGAACTACGAGAAGATTATAATATAAAACAATTGTCAAATCTGTGCCCCAGAATAAGAATATCAGGTATTCCCAAAGAAATAACCTCAGAAATGTTCTCTAAATCGCTTGTTCATCAAAACCAATTATTGTTTAATGATGTCAATGAAGATTATAAAGTTGTAAGCTACAGTAGCCAACGCAAAAGTGATAAATATCTTCAAGCCGTAGTTCAAATTGACACAGTGTCATACAACAATATAATGAAAGCTGGAAAACTATTAATAGGCTATAAATATTGTAAAGTTTGGGATGCTATCGATGTTCGCCGTTGTTATAATTGTTGTGGTTTCCACCACCATTCTGATAAATGTGATCAGAACTTTCCCATCTGTCCAAGGTGTTCAGAAAAACATAAAGTACAAGAGTGTAAGTCTGATATTCTTAAGTGTACTAACTGTAGTATGTTGAAGGCAACTAATGCTAATATAAACACAAACCATGCAGCCTGGGACATTAACAAATGCACGGTCTACAAAACTCATGTTGAAAACTTTAAAAAAATTATATTTAATTCACAATAGCAATTAAACCCTAATATCAGCGACATTTCTACTTTTTCCGGATTAGCATCTTCAGTTAATTGCAATAGCTCTCACTCAGTACATGATAGAGACCTAATAATCTATTATCAAAATGTAAGAGGTCTTAACAGTAAATTAAATGATTTGAGTAGTTATCTAAATGTTTTCCATTCTGATATATTTGCATTCACTGAATCGTTTCTGAATGACACAGTTCTAGACTCAGAAATATCAAGTAATTACACAATATATAGAAGTGACAGAAACTTTTCTCGTATTAATTGTACAAGAGGTGGAGGAGTCTTAATAGGAGTTAATCCTTCCTTTACTTCATGTAAGCTCGACATTTCTAATTTAGGTTTCGATTCCGTGCCAATGATCGATATTCTAGTTGTCAAAATTAACTCTTCCTTCCAAAATTTTTACGTAGTGGTTGCATATGTACCTCCTAGTCCAAGAACATGTGTGGAAGACATTGATGTATTTTTTGAATACTTAATAGCTCTTTGCTTTACTCTCGAAGGGGACGTAATCATCCTAGGTGATTTTAATATTCCGGCATACTCAGACTCCTTAATGGATCAAATAGGTAGTGATGGAAGGTTAAAGCCCCTTTTGAATTTCTTAGACATGAGTGGCTATCGTCAATATAATTTCGTACGGAATTCTAATTTGCGACTATTAGATTTAATTTTGTCTAACATTGAATGCAGAGTATCAAAAGCTACTGATGTTTTACTTGATGAAGATCATCATCATCCCAGTCTTGAGATATTTATAAAACACAAATTATCATCTAAAGAAAAAAAAATATGTAACGGCAACTTTAAATCTTACAATTTTCGACATGCAGACTTTGCCCTCTTATATGACATGTTACTAAACGTTGATTGGTCGTTTCTAAAAGACATTACGGACCCTAATAAGGCAACATTGCAGTTATATTCCCGACTAGATAAAATCTTTGAAGTTTGTGTTCCTATGACAAAGCGTTTCAATAAAAGACAATATCCGCCCTGGTTCACTGTAAATATAAAACAAATGCTAAAGCTAAAATGGAAATTTTGGTTGAAATATAAACGGTTTAGGGATCCTGCGGTATACTCCAAATTCAAGATTTTAAGATCACAAATCAAAATTGAAATAAAAAATGCATATAATGTATATTTAGAAAAAACTGAAAGTAATATACAGTCAGATCCTACACAATTCTGGTCCTTTGTTCACAGGTTGAGATCTCAAAATGTTATACCAGGAGTGATGACTTATGATTCAAAAGAGTTAAATGATCCGTTATCAATTGTCAACTCTTTCGCAAAGTTTTTTCAACAGCAATATATTCAGTCTCAAGCTTCTGCTGTACATACCATACCGTCGCTTCCTAATTTAAACATTTACCATTATAGTGAAGAGGAGGTGTATCAAGCACTGTTAAAACTAAAAAATAAAATGACATCTGGGCCAGACTGTATTCCAGCTTTTATTCTGAGAGACTGTGCTAATATTTTCAAATCTCCGCTTATGCTTATTTTTAACATGTGCCTCAACTCTGGTGTGTACCCCTCACTATGGAAACAGTCCTCTATTTGTCCAATATATAAAAAAGGGGATAAAAAACAAATTGAAAATTATCGTCCCATCGCTCTTTTGTGCAATTTTTCCAAGGTGTTCGAGATCTTGCTACACAAGAGTATTATGCGTCATGTTCAGTCCTACATCTCACCACTGCAACATGGTTTTGTTAAGGGTCGTTCCACTGAGACCAACTTATGTTTGTTTACACAATTTTTATCAGACACAATCGACACCGGCCACCAGGTGGATACGGTGTACACCGATTTTTCGAGAGCATTCGATAGGATTGATCATTTTAAGTTAATTAACAAATTAAATTCTTTTGGTTTATGTGATCGTCTATTAGACTTGATGAAGTCGTATCTTTTTGGTAGAACGCAGTTTGTGATCTGTAAAGGATTTAAATCGGTAGAAATAAATACAACATCAGGCGTTCCTCAAGGATCAGTTCTTGGGCCTCTTTTGTTTATCCTTTTTATTAATGACATAACATCTTCATTAAAAAGTCGTTGTTTACTATATGCGGACGACTTAAAAATATTTCGAGTAATAAGATGCATAGACGACTGTCTCACATTGCAAAATGACCTACACAGGTTATTAGTTTGGTGTTTGGAAAACGGTCTTTTATTGAATATCGGTAAGTGTGGCGTGATGACATTTTCTTTGAAACATATACTCCTCTTGTTTGATTACATGATTGACGATGTAGTATTACAACGATTTGACGTTGTCAAGGATTTAGGAGTGATATTTGACAAGAAATTGTCATTCAACAATCATGTAGAAACAATGATCATGTCAGCGTCGAAATCTCTCGGCTTTGTCTTACGCAATGGTCGTAATTTTCGCAACAGTGAAACATTATCAACATTGTATTTCGCGTTTGTGAGAACTAAATTAGAGTATGCGTGTAATATATGGGCCCCAGGATATATGATATATGTTAACATGATCGAAAAAGTTCAGAGAAAATTTTTAAAATTTTTACATTATAAGAAATTTGGTTTCTACCCTCCAAGAGGTTTTCCTGAAGAAGAACTCTTACAAACCTTTTCCATCAATAGTTTACTGAAAAGACGTTTATATTTTTCGTTCATATTCTTATACAAAATTGTCGCTGGAAATATCGACTGCCAAGATTTATTGAAATGTATAAATTTGTTAGTTCCAAGGGTAAATGCGCGTAGATATGACACATTTTACATTTTTACAGCTCGCACTAATGTGCGCAAATTTTCTCCAATTTATACCATCTGCGAAAATTACAACAGAAACCAGGATATGTTCGACATCTTTAACACCACTTCAAGAAAAATTAAAAATATATGCTTGTTACAGGCTGAATGATGGTGTTAAATTTAAGTTAGTTTTAATGTTAAATACATTCATCTTACCCCAATAAATGGTTGTACTGTGGGGGTGAATATTAATAATAATAATAATAATAATAATAATAATAATAATAATAACTACATTTACTATTTCACTTCCATTCGTAATTACCTCGTCATAAGAAATGATTGAGTCTGTGAGCACTACTTTTTAAACAAAAATGTAACTTTTCTTACGTTTATGTTGGCATAATGGAAGTAATTGTGTGACAGATATGTCAATCGTGACATGCGATAAATTTAGGTTATGTTTTGGATACATTCTGCAAATAAAAAATGTCAACAACCTGTTAGTCTTGACAGCTGACAACAGGAAATTATAGAAAACATCATGATACCAATGAAATCAATTATTATAAATTTGAAACTTGTGCTAATACATGAGCGAAAAAAATGAGGAATTGTTTCAGTGGGAGATCTTTTTTTTTCTACTAATTTCAAAACTTAAACATGCGTATCAAAACATAAGTTAATGAATCTCTACCAAAGGTACTAGGTTTATAGATGTCACAAAACAAGTAACTTAAAAAAAAACGTACTTTAGAAAACTTTCTCAATCGTTCCAACCCAGCCCTAAATCTAGTGACCCAACACACAACCATTACGTCAAAATAACTTTGACGTCGTTACGAACTTTAAACTTCCCCATGGAACAAATCGAGTATTTCATCTCTGGCGGATTCGGTGGCGTGTGCACTGTCCTCGTTGGCCATCCTCTCGACACCATCAAGATCCGCCTCCAAACCATGCCCCCGCCCCAACATGGCCAGCCGCCCCTCTACACCGGCACCTTCGACTGCTTCAAGAAAACCCTATTCAACGAAGGGCCCCTAGGTTTATACAAAGGTATCAGCGCCCCTCTCGCCGCCGTCAGCCCTATTTTCGCCTTGTCTTTCTTCGGTTTCGGCACGGGCAAGCGCTTTTTCAGCGAACCTGGCCGCCAGCTCAGCTACCCCCAGCTGTTCGCCTCCGGCGGTTTCGCCGGTCTGCTCACCAGCATCGTCATGACGCCGGGAGAAAGGATCAAGTCTTTGCTGCAGATACAGACGACAGGGCCGAAAGTGTACAACGGATCCATCGACTGTGCTAGGAAGTTGTTCAAAGAAGGGGGAATCAAGTCGGTTTATAGAGGCTTCGGAGTGACGATCCTGAGGGATATTCCCGCCGGTGGGGCCTATTTTATGACGTATGAAGGGATTAAGGATTATGTGACAAGAGACACAGGGAGGCCACCTACTTTTTTAGAGACGGTGTTCGCTGGGGCATCGGCGGGGGTGACGCATTGGTTGGTGGGGATGCCCCCGGATGTGGTGAAGACGAGGATCCAGACGGCGCCTACCGGGAAGTACCCTAATGGAATTAGGGACGTCGTGAGGGACTTGCTGATAATGGAAGGGCCTGTTGCGTTCTACACGGGACTTACTCCGGTTATGCTGAGGGCTATTCCGGCGAACGTTGCGTGTTTCGTGGGGTTTGAACAGTGTGAACGGATGTTAGCGGCTATAAAGCGTTGGTGGGGGATAAGCTAGTAGTGTGGGGCGTGACGTCATAGTTTAGCGCTAGTAACTGTTAATTATATGATCTAAGTATTATTACTTTATTAACCAACTGTTATCAGTTGGTTAATAAAACGACCAAAAAAATAATAGATTAAAAAAAACACCCAACACTTTCCTAATTAGTAAAAAAATAAGACACTTCAATTACGATGAGCAGTGTACCTCTCGATTCTTGCAGGAATCACCATATAACGCAGGCATAGATTTTTACGTCCGTTGGGTACAAGATTTTAAATGCAAGGTTACGACCTCCTTAATTCTTTATTTCTCAACAATTACTATTTTACGTTATTTCAGAATTTAATATAATAAATTCTTTGTTCTAAAAATACTCGTAAAATTGATTACGAATTATTTTCAAACTCATCTCTGAAAGGGAAAAAGCAAGTAGCTACGTCAGAATGAGTAACAGTATAGTATCAATTTTCTGTTTGGAAATTGGACAAATTCAGCTTAAACTATGCTTCGCTTTATGTACGTTATTATTAAATGTATGTGTTATATTATTTATTATCATTAAGCTCTTAAACTCATTACTAAAAATAACTAAATTGTCTTCTTCATTCATAATTTAATACATTTATTGAAAGATAAATGAGTAAATACTGAATTATATGCTAAATTATTTATTATTTCCAGTCAATAGCAACTCGTTTATTTTTTACATTATATTATCATTTTTGTAATTTTAGACAATAAGTTAAATAATACGCCGCCCCGGCCTATGGGTTCTAGTATGTACGGCGATGATGACTCATTGGCGATGATGGCGGCCGGAGAAAAGCCTGGAAGCAGAAGTCGAGATGGGCAATCCAGAAAGACCTCGACTGGCTTTAAATAGAGGCCACCTTCGGGAGCGATTATTATTCAGCAAATTCAGTCAAGTCGCGTCCAGCGAATGTTCAGAGAAGCCAGTTGCACCGGAATTATTTTGTACATAATCGCTGTGTAATCAGTCGTGTAAATTCGAGTTATTAAGAAATAAATTGTTGAGTTTTACCCACGTCGATTTTTAAATCACCGATCAACATAACAATATTTTGGATGAACTGAAACTTACTATTTTGGTTTTTGTTGGATAATGTAGATAATAATCAAAATGGACTTATTTCGGCATTAAACTATACATATTTAGTATGTAGTACACCATTAGAATAATAGGGGAAAGTAAACCTCCCAGAAGTTATTAGAAATAGGTTGGTCTTTGTTTTAACTCAAAAAGATATGTTTGGAATGAGGTACACGGAAAAAAATAGCCCCCAAGTGGCGTATACTTACATACGAGTATATTAAGTTTATACTCAGTACGCCACAAAATAAGTTAGTATTACAATAATTTAATGAGCTCACCGTCCACTTCACAAGCGAGATGGGTGTATTTATAGAATCTAACGAGCACCGTTACGTTGGGAAGAATAGCCATTTATTTAATTTGTCTTCGTAATAATCCACAACGCAGATGTATTAGTGTAAGTACGTTCTACTAGTAATGAAACTTCACTATCGACATTCATAGCGAGCTAGTGAGTAAACCGTGATGGAAGTAGGAATAATCTTCGACTATTTACTAACGTTAGACGAAAAGTTAATTAGTATGGCGAATCATAAACTAATGCGAAATTACATTAATATCGCCTTCCTTGTACACTTCGCTGTGGTACTTTTTCAAGCTTACGTAATCACTGCCCGTAATATGAGTTTCGTTCTGGTTATATTTCCTTCAGTTTGCTTTTCGGCCTCAGTAAGTTGGTGCCTACAGGTTCATGTGGATAAATGACCCTATCAACTGCTTTCAGGTAATAATTGTTCTGGTTGTCGTTGTAAGATCTGAAGGAACCGTACAAAAATATTTTCAAACTTTAAAAAATATATCGTTGCCACTGCCCACAACTAGCACAGAAAAAATTTTACCGACTTTCAGAACACTTACGCTACATGTCTTTATGGCTGTATATTTTTCATCGACGGCATATTTTGGTATAGTCATTAATAGAAGGTATTATCAAAACGATCTCTTGTACGTGCTTACGTTGTTAGAAGAATATCTGCCAAGTTACTGGGCAAAGTGTTCCATAGCTCTGTTCTACGCTACAAGTCCGTGCCTGTTATTCTGTTACTTTTTCATCGTTCTTCTCTTGCATTCACTCTTCGTCAAAGTTAAAATTCAGTTTTATATTTTAAATTTACAGCTTTCTAGCATATCAGAAATTCGAGAACCAAAAATTTTTGATACTGACCATCAAGACATGATACATTTGAAACTTCGCTCTTTCGTTAAGCAGCATGTTTGTCTGTTAAAGTATGTATATTTAGCGCGTAATTTTGATCTGTTGTTAAACTGCTTCTTACAGATTTCTGAAGAGTATGGGCAACGAGTTTGTAAACTGGGTCCAACTGCTGGGACTGGGTTACATAATTTGTAATATTTTCATATTTTTCTCTTCATTCAAAGTTTGTTAAAATACAGGTAATTTATGTTGTAAAGACTCTTTTTCAGAAACCAGAGGATTATTTGGATATGTTGACCATAGTTTTTATGGTGATTTGGAATATTTACATTACATTTTTAAGTCTCATCTGGGGTCAGGAATTACAAGAGATGGTTAAAATTATATGTATTTCGAATTTTTTTCTGCTAATGGTGGACGGTTTTAGACCAATGACATCTTTAAAAGTATTTTTGAATGTTCTTGGTATACATGGAACAGTAGAAATAAAAGAAATTTAATCATTGTAATAATCAATGGCTCTCAACCTTTGGCTGTGAGTTTGTACGGCATTGGACCTCTTGGTTACCCCACTTTTATTACTGTAGGTATAGATATGTAAAAATATCTTATCGGGTAAAGTTTTTGATAGCTTTTTAGATTGTCGTATTCAGTTGTTACACTTCTATATAGTCTTCAGTAAGTATCCTCAAATTTTTGGAAGTTTTTTTTCTAAATCATAAAAACTATTAAAACAAATTCTTATAATTTTATAAGAGCAGCTGCTGATATGTATTAAGAGCACTGTAACTCTTCTGAAATTTAATAATAAATTGTTGTAATTTTATTTGTTTTATTCTTCTTATTTTTATTATATTATTTATATCGTTCCTTATAATAATTCTAGCTCTTTGAAAATCTGTGGTCACAGTGAAGTCTGTTTTCAAAATTTCGTTATATATGTATTTGTACTACCTATTATATTTTTCTTGGTATATTAATTCCATTGTTCAAATGTTTTGCAGTTATTCTTCGATTACATTCTCAAAATTTTTATTTTGAAAAAAGCCAAGAATATTCTGGATTCTGGATTCTTAAATTATGGGGGCTGACCGTAGCCAGCCGGCACTTAGGCCTCGCCTTTGGGCCCATTGTACCTTCCCCAAGTCCATATCAGGGTGTTTTCCCGCTCCTCTACTCGTCAAGCCACCCAACTGCTTGAATGTACTTGAGTAATGCAGAGGGTGGAAACTCGCTGATATTTGCCATACTAGGCCAGATGTCCCCTAGTATGGATTCCCTGTAGGAGGCTAGGGCTGGACACTCACGAAGAATGTGCTCAGCTGTTTCCTCTTCTTCATTGCATCCACGACAGATTGGGTCTGTTACCACCCCTATCGTATGTAGATGTTTGTTAAACTGGTAATGTCCCGTAAGGAATCCTACCAGTTTACGCAGTTTGTCCCTTGAAAGTGAGAGATAAAATTTCGTCAACTTACGGTCTGGTGTCGCCATACAAGCTCTACTATGCCGACAGCTGCTCAATTTCACCCATATCTGCTCATGGCGTCTCTGGGTATATTGCTTTACGAGTTCGTTCGAGAGGGCGACCGAAGGCGTGATTGCCGGTTCGGGTCCCCAGAAGGGCATGCGCGCGGCTCGCTTCGCTTGTTCAAATGTTTTGCAGTTATTCTTCGATTACATTCTCAAAATTTTTATTTTGAAAAAAGCCAAGAATATTGTGTCATTTTGTGTTTTGCGGTTACTTCGGTTTTCTAAAATATTTACAAGAACATGATGGCAATATTGGAAGAATGCAGCAGCGGCAGCTAATTTATACAGAGCCAGATACCTCAACAGAAGGGCTCCAAGTAAAACAGTGTTCCGTCGATTGGAAGCAAAACTCCGGGACTAATTTCGACCATTAAAGGCACTCGTTTGCTTACGCTCGTTCTTGCTTACAGTTTCGATTATTAATCGCCTTCATTGACACACTTGTTTATTAAATCTATTTCATCCTTAATTACCTACAAATCTAATGTGTTCATAGAAACGATGATGGTTCTAATGGTTACGACACCTCTCTAACGATATTTCTGAGTTTGTGACATTCAATCTTATGGTGGTTATCGTTTTGGATAATTTACTAAATTTAGACGAATAGTTAATTCGTTTACAGTTTAGCCATTTATAAATTATTATTGTATGTATTAATTTACTCATGTTACCTTAACGCTATTTGCTGAACTGAGTTGTTGAAGCACTTATTTTTTCCACATTTTATCACACTAAAATCATTTTTAGAGGTTTTTTTGATATAGTTATCGAAATATGGTTTGGCCATACCCCGATCATTTTGACTGAATTAAAATGGCAGTGGTAAGGTAGATCGAAGGCGTAAAATTCCGCGATCATATTCATATCTTTTTGCTATTTCATCCCCAATGTATAGTAGAAATACGCTTTGAATGTTGCTTTAATAAATTTAGGAGCTCGGATTTAAAAATTTGTGTTTCAAATGTACTACTTTACAATTTTAGAAAGGTTTCCAAGTACTGAATAATTTCATGTTTAGTACACGAATTCGATATGAAATGGAGAGAACACCACAATAATTTATCAGTATGTACATATAGTACATATGCATGTAAGTAAAGTGCATTTACTCATAGTAAATTTGAAGACAGATATAATGTTCAAATTTTATTAAGTTCTTGATTCAGAATTTTAAGTACTATAAGTAACTTTGTCTATCACTTAGGTCCAAAAATTTTCCAAAAAAAAGGTTAAAATTGGTTTAACGGACCGAAAATTGGCGTCAAATTGTTAATAATCTTCCGCTGGTTGTGATTCTGAAATGGCCGTCACGTTAACTGCTCCAATAAACACGAAAAGTGAATTCAAAATTTCCAAAAAAAGTGGTTAAAATTGGTTTAATCGACGGAAAATTGGTGTCAAATTGTAGATAATCTTCCGCTAGTTACGATTCTGAAATCGCCGTCACGATATCTGGTCCAATAAACACGCAAAGAGAATTCAAAATTTGATTCAGAATTTTAAGTACTATAAGTAACTTTGTCTGTCATTTAGGTGTCTGATTAAAGCGATGCAGCTTAGCCCCCAGCTAAGACTTTTACTGCAGTTTCGGTCAGGGATTATAAGGTATCAGATACGTGCTAAATTTTGCACCCCAGTTCGGTCACGGATCAGAAATGAATCGCAATTTGACCAGGTCCCTAAAAACGTGATACTTTTTTTTGAAATTACTGGAACAATGAATTTAGTTAATGAAGTTTTTATTTTCTAGAAAATCAATTATTGTCAATTTTCTTTATTATTTTTCGTCAGATGGGTGTATTTATAGAATCTAACGAGCATCGTTAGACAGAATAATCATTTATTTGATTTGTCTTCGTAATAATCCACAACGCAGACGTATTAGTGAAAGCAGAACGTACTGTTCCTAGCAGTGAAACTTCGCTACCGACATTCATACGCTAGTGAATAAACCGTGATGGAGGTTATAATCTTCGACTATTTGTTAACTTTAGACGAAAAGTTAATCAGTGTGGCCAATCATAAACTAATGCGAAACTACATAATTATCGCGTGGCTTGTGCACTTCTCTGTATTACTTTTCGAAGTTTACGTAATCACTTCTCGTAATATCAGTTTCGTTCTGGTTCTATTTCCTTCATTTTGCTGTTCGACCTCAGTAAGCTAGCACTAGTTCATGTGGTTAAATTGCCTTATCAATTGTTTTCAGCTGATAATTATCCTGGGTGTCGTTTC